GGGGGTTTGAACCCCCAAACCCCCTGGTTGTGGGCCTGGGTCTCTGAACATTTTGAAATGTTGGAGTTTTACCTGGTGATATATTAGTCATCTTTGAAGTATATGAAGATGTCTGCGGAAGTGACGACAGGAAAATATCAATACCATCCCCAACCATTCAAGCAATCATATTACAGCTCGAGACCATAACACTAAGGAACATTTCTTTCAAACTGAAGTCATTGCTATTCATGTTGAACAATACATTTAAATCGATAGTCAATACTCAAAACATCCAAAAGGTTGTAGATACTAGTTGGCATACAAGATAGAGCATTCAGTCCCAAATGATGTGGGACAGACACAATCTGATTTCGAAGTCCATAGACATAAAGGTCCATGCAAAGCCGTCGCCATGATCCCCAAAATTTCACCATGGTCATCAGGAGAAAACTACAGCTATGTGGCTAGTTCCGATCCCTATTTCCTAACCATTAATGACATAGCCGGAATCCACTGAAAGGTGCCAAGTGAAAAATTGTGAGTTGAAAATGCACTAGAAAGTCGGTATGGGTCGACAATTTAAAATAGTCTTAGGACGCCAGCATGGGCATATTTAGGTAAATGGTTGAAGCCACCCATGCAAAACTCACCTGTGTGACCTGAGCTGGCAATGTGATTGCTGTATACATTGGGCATTTACTTATAGTCTTCCAAACATTAGTGTATCAGGAACTATGCTTCAGTGTGATGCGATAACTTCTGAATATATATACCCACACAAGGGAATAAAGGAACAGAAAATTGCAAAACTGTCAATAATATCATCAATCGTTCACCACAGAGGACCCTATCTCTTCAATTATTTTCAGACATACGGGTTTAGTTTAACTTATTTCATTAAACTAGTGGCAATTAACAAGATTGCTTTGCAATTTACGTTTCCTCTCCAGTGACTCGAGATGTAATTTTTCATAAGGTTAATGAGAGTTGCTTGGATATTGGGCCGATTATGGTATTTGCGATATTCCCCGTTGATCTCAATAAAATTGCTTGCAATAGATTATTCCACACATTTCCCATAACAGCTTGGTTATGATGTCATCAGATAAATACCACTTGTACTGACTGTACTGGATGAAGCCCCTATGTTGCCACACCCTTGCTTTATCCATAACAATATGAAATTCCTGTTTTATGATACATCAGAGAATATTCATGTACTGATCATAAGCCTTCGCTGCATCTCTCGAACCGAAGGGCCTAAGGCAAGGCAAGATTTTGTTTATGACCTAATATATTTGTGTGAACGGATGTGCTGATTCCCCTGATTTACAACCGTATACCCATAAACTGGTATATCATCATTGTCGTCAGTACAGGGGTTTACATCCATGACTACCACAATGTAATAGTTTATCCATTGACGCAATCAGTGAGGAAACCAGTTCATTTTCACTATATGCGAAACAAAATAAAATATTTTGATATACATGGAGCTTCGATATAATACTAATGGGAATATATATTTTTTAAATATTTTATGTGTTAATGAAGCCAACACTCAATGTGAACAATTAAATAAGAAATTGGCCAACCTTTCCAATATTAAATCACACCATACGAGTGTTGTGAGAAGATATGGGCAGATTGGAGGTTGCCTTGGGAAATTCTTTAATAAAGTCCTAACCCTTTTAGTCCGTGTCTGGATGCCAACTCTCCGAGGGCATTTTATGTAAACCGATATGTGGAAATAGATTTTAGTGTAATTTGATTCCGTCGGAAAGAGATTGGACAGATGAGATTCTTGTAGAAGACAATGCATAGAAATGACCTTAGATAATGGAACCTAGTCAAGGATGGTGTGTATATACTAAATGTTGCATCGATGAGCAGCACATTTGATTGGCTCCTTAATTGCTGATAAATACTTTGAGGCATTTGACCCATTTAATTAAATAAGTTGTCATGCAGAAGAATTGTGTTATTTATTACTTTCGAGTGCAACTAAAAATTACAAGGAGTACTTACTTAACCACTATAATTGGTGTTTTTATTCGAGGATACGTATGGCGAATGCAAGCAAAATAGTTTTTTTGGGGGGGAACAATTATTTTAAAATCATGCAGATTTCACAATCCTGGGCATTTTAAGTGGTTTTGGGCTGAAGTTGTCAAACGCGAACATTCATGGAATTTTTAAAAGTGAACCCCCTTTTGGCAAAAACTGGCTAGGGGCCTGAGATAAATGACACTGGACTTAAAATAGAGTCGTGTTTACTCCACTACCTTTAAAATACTGTATTGAAAATAAGATGTACATTACATTGTGGTATCGATAGGTACAGAAAGCATGGACCATTGCCTAAATAATGCTTGTTAGCATTGACTACCTATGATATTCTATATTCACTGCACCGAGTACATAGGGTTTTTGATATATTTCAAAAGCCGTCCTGATATCAAAGGAATGGTCACAGTATAATTGGATATAATAGAGAATCCGAGGAAATCTGTATTTATAAAGAAAAGTATACGGACAATTTTCAAAACACTAAAATCTCCAATTATTGTATAGATCTTGTTAAATATTTGTTCAAACTTACCCAGAATATAACCTCATTCTGAAACAGTCTTTATTTGTTATTTCTTACCAAGAACAACGGTCAACGGTCTCTTTTCATGAATATCTACCTTAGAATTGATTGGTGTTTATTATGAACTTTAATTTTAAGCCAAAGTTATTCATTTTGTGAATCGATCACGGTACCTTTGACTAACACTTCTAATAAAATATCGCAAATAAGAGTAATTGGCAGATACGGATGTTGGCTCGGATTATCAACAATTGGAAGCCTTCCAATCTTTTGAACCCATGGAGGATACAATCAACACTCCGGATGCCTTTATTGAAATCTCTCTGAAGCATCAATGTTTCAGTGTATACATTTATGAAACGAAATCAATGCATTAATTGGATTAATGATATATTATGGTATACAGTAAATTATCGTTTAACATTAAATGTGACAATTAACAATAGGTTAAATACGTGATTTTTACTATTTTTGAACAACTGATTGATGTTTTGGCTATATAATAGATTTATGTCCAATGAAGGATAACAGAAATGACAATAATGTCGAGATGATTTCAATACTCCAGTCACGAAGTGTATATAGAAGTTATGCAGCTTAATTAGTTTGCTCTTAACCAGATTTGTTTATTCAATTGGATCAATAATTATCTCAAATGAGCATGGGTTCTCTACATCTGATTTATGTTTGGTATTCAAACACTATAATACAATGGCATTGAACCGATGTAAGTTCTTCGTCGCCTGGACATCCACAAATTACAAACCAATAGAAATATCCCCTGCTGTAAGACGAGGCTTAATAGCAATCGGAGATATGTCTTTAGGTGGAATGTAGTTATTATCCAGGTTAAGCTAGCGGATAGCAGCTGAACATCACGTTTCATTCCTTAATACAGACAACTAATACATTCTGATATCGATATCAAACCTATAAGCGTATATACAAACAATGGTATTGCATTGAAAACTCATAAAATGTTCATTCCAACGTGCATGAACCACAATTTAGACTAGGTGCGCACTTTGTTTTAGTGCTCACTTTGAAAAAACTTTTT